CCCCCCCCCCAGCCCCCGAGTCACGATCTTCTACCAATGTAAACACTACACTTACATCAGTCTAACACAGTGGTTCTCTACCTTTCTAATGCCGCGACCCTTTAATACAGCTCCTCGTGTTGTGGCGACCCCCCCCCCCACAACCACACAATTATTTCCGTTGCTACTTTATAACTGTAGAGTATATGTGTTTTCCGATGGTCTTAGAGCGACCCCTGGGAATGGGTCGTGCGACCCCCAAAGGGGTCGCGACCCACTGGTTGAGAACCGCTGGTCTAACAGATGGCAAACACCACAATCATCAATTCTTCTAGTCGGTGCCATGTTATTATGTCAAATAAATCATAAATTATGCTCCGCACCAAGACTTGTTCGTACAGTGCTACCGAACGTACAGGGCTACCGAACGTACAGGGCTACCGAACTAGTCATCTGAACTGTCCTACCTTTTGATCTACGATTTCCTCAATAGTGGTCTTTTCTATTCGGTAAAGTGAACGATGTCAAATGATAGGTTCATGAATCAAAACAATTTTTTTTTTAATCAAACATTCCGATTCAAAAAAAATTTCATTAAAAATTCGTATGATACATATACAGGGATTTCCGTATTGTAATAATAATTTTAAAAAATGTGTTAGAAAAACGGTGACAAATTCTTACCTTTGACGAATAAATTTCGAAAACTTGATAAACAACCTTAAATTATTATTTCATTTCGTCTTCCTATTGAGATATTAAACAAATAGGTCCGCATATCAGTAAAAATGCATTCCTAATTATTATTTTGTTTTTTCTAAATGTTAGATAAAGCAAGAGTTTCCACACCAAGTTTTATTTTGAAATAAGTCTCCTATAGGCTCACTATTAGTGAGTTCGGGTCACCATGGTTCAATTGAACTACACGTTCAACCTGCCGATGGATCCTGTCGCTGACGATGTGAAGCTCCCGGACGAGTTCTTTCTCTCCACCTCCATCGCCGTCGTCTCCTTGTTCGGCTTCACGTGTCAGATCATCAACATAGTCGTGTTCATCAGGATGGCGTCTAGGGACGGCGTCACGCTGACCTTCCTGGCACTGTCTTTTGCCGACGCGGGTCAACGCCTGGTGTCGCTGTTAACCTGCGTTTTCACGTCTGTCAACTTTACCGTGCTGAAGCTGCGGTACGCGACCTTCGTAAACTTCAACGCTCTGGCGTATCTCAGCATTTGGTATTCTCAGATGTTCTGTGACGTGTCCGTCGCCATAACAACGTACATGGCCGTGCAGCGATGCTGTTGCGTGACGATGCCGCTGCACTTTAAAAGTGTCTTCACCCAGAAACGCAACGTCCACGCACTGATCACCATCTGGGCTGTTGTTGTAATCACGTACTTGCCGATGTTAAAGGTGACGAAAATCAATGCAAACAACAAACGTTTGGCAACAGCCAATCTCTCAAGACAAGACTTGCAGGTTATCAAGTCGGTCACCCTGGTGTCTGTGGTCTTCGTGGTGTGCAACTGCCCCCGGCTGATGTTCACATACGCACGACGGATACAGCCAGAGTTTAACGTATCCAGGGCGTATGCTAACATATATTACATTACAGCACAGCTCTGCAACTTGGCCGAATGCCTGAACGCGTCCATGACAACGTTCGTGTACATCGCTTACAATGCCAAGTTTGTTACTGTCCTGAACGCGTCCATGACAACGTTCGTGTACATCGCTTACAATGCCAAGTTTGTTACTGTGCTGAACGCGTCCATGACAACGTTCGTGTACATCGCTTACAATGCCAAGTTTGTTACTGTGCTGAACGCGTCCATGACAACGTTCGTGTACATCGCTTACAATGCCAAGTTTGTTACTGTGCTTAGGAGTTGGAAGTCTTGATTACGCTTTTCGTGTTTAACCCTTGTAACCAAATTTGGATTTTGTCAATTTGGACATTATCTTAACTTCGTTTTTTTCCGGGAGACATTGCGTGAAAACAGAAAGAATCTTTAACATAACGTACCATATATTCCCAATTCAGAACTGTACCAAAATAAATACATACATAAAACAAACCTGATCTCTGGAGATGTTTATTCAATGCTTTAAAAACATTTGTGTTTCAGACTTGGTCAAATGATATCACTGTAAGTTTTAACATAATATTACATTAAATGCTACTTAAAATAAACGGGTCTAATTAAGACATCGTTTAATATTTTTTTTTTAAACCAAAGTTCTGATTAAAATGCGCCCATCTTCTTCGACAATGGATCCACCAGAGTGTACCATCCATTTTTTTTAAAAATATTATAATGACACACTGAGTACTACCGGTCCCTACATGCTCTCAGATCCCACTTTAGTTACGCCCACAAGAAACGCTTCTTCATTTTTGCATCGCTTAAAACTGAACGCTGATGACACTGGGATTAACAGAAACACAAATCTAAACAAAAAAAAATAATTTGTTTGTCAGTAAACTACTGCACTTTTTTCTATGTGACCTTTGTTAAAACGAATATCTAAATTTACTCTAATTAATACACCTAATATATACACTAATACGTTCATCGTTCAATGAAGTACTCAAACATTTTTGTTGGTTTTGAAAAAATTGGACGACACCGTGTGACCTCATTCATCGTCCCGATTATCATCTCACGTGATTTAGAAAACATTAAGGAGACCGTGCACTTAGATCACTTTGAACTCTTTCCATTTCCCATCGATCCTCATCAGAAGATCATTGGGGGNAAAGCAAGAAAATCAGATTCTCAAGGCGGCCAATTTACGGATTTAAAAAAAAAAAAAAAAAAAAAAAAAATGGGCGGGGTTTGGGGTGGGGGCTTAAATCATGGACAAAGTACTCCCCGTAGGTCTTCGAAAAACAAGGATTTGTCGTTCAGCGGATCTGACGTATGCATGAGATGTAGGCTAGGTAAAGTGACGCTAGTTGTTGCTCTTGCTTAATGTCCTTTTTTTTACATTGAAAACACGCCCGTCATTATTTTAATACAACTAGACTTATGTAGATCTGTTCAACAAGACAGTAAAAAAACAATCTTCAAGTTAAAAACAACACATTGCCTATAAAGGGACTTTACCATGAATTAGATTAATCTAATTAATTTTTTTTAACCGTATACATCTGACAACTCTTTTTTTTCTCTTTTCATCACGCGTTATTATTACCACTATTATTTTAATTATTATTTTTTGTGTGTGTTAAACTCATTGTGAGTTGCGTCAAGTTCGATCAGCCATGGCCATGGATTTAACGAAGGAGTCCACGAATTTTTTAGTGGACCCCGTGAGCGATGACGTGCGATCTGTGCTAGAGTTTAGTTTGTCTGTGCTGATTGGCGTCCAGTCTCTATTCGGCATCGTCTTTCAGATCTTGAACATAATCGTTTTCATAAATCTGGGCCACAAAGATGGCGTCACGCTGACGTTCCTGGCGCTGTCTCTCGCGGACGTCGGTCAGCTCCTGATACCTCTGCTCACCTGCGCGTTCACCTGGGTCAACTTCGCGCTGCGGGAAATGGAGTACGATTCTTTCATCGATTTTATCTCCTTGGTGTACATCAGCATCTGGTACGACCATATGTTCTGCGACATATCGGTTGCCGTGACGACGTACATGGCCGTGCAGCGATGCTGCTGCGTGGCGATGCCGCTGCACTTCAGAAGCGTGTTCACGAATAAACGCACCGCCCAGGCGCTGACCTGCATCTCCGGCGCGGTCGTCGTCACATACCTGCCCGTGTTCGCCACACAGGGCCTGCAGGTCGTGAACTCCAACGCGACGTCCCGAAAACTGGTGCTGTGGCTGAGCCCGCGGCGCCCCACAGTGCAGGGCGTCAATGACGTCATCAACAAGATCATTCTGAGATCCGCAGCCCAAATCATCGTCGCAGTCTGTCTTGTCGTGCTTGCCGTGCATTTGATGGCGGCCTCGAAGTTCCGCCGCAATTTGCGGTCGTCCCGCCAGGACGGCGCGAAACAGCGAGAGTCCCCGGCGAGCATCTCGAGGCCAGACTTGCAGGTCATCAAATCGGTCACCCTGGTGTCCGTCATGTTCGTGCTGTCCAACTGCCCGCGCCTGATGTTCACGTACGCGCGGAGAATCGAGCCGGAATTCAACGTGCTGCGGGCGTACGAGAACCTCTACTACGTGCTCAGTCAGGTGTGCAACCTGGCCGAGTGCATGAACGCGTCGCTGACCATATGCGTGTACGTCACTCACAATTCGAGGTTCGCCGCTGTGCTCCGGAAATACCTGTGCTGCCACTCTGATAGCGTTGATGAGTAACGAAACCACGAATATTATGTGATCTAAAAAAATCAATTTAAAAAAAAAAAATGCAACTGTGTCAATAGATAACAATGGTTATTTTTGTCCTTGAAATTGATGGGAATATTTGAGGAGCCACTTTAAATGCGAACAGCTTCCTTAAGGGGGCGTGCTTTGGGGTCGGTTTGGGGTCTGGAACTCACTGTTTGGTAGCTTGTGTATATATATTGTTTCCCTCAACTGAAGATTTCTTGGGGACATTTGGTCTCTGAAATTGTAAATGTATTCGTTTGTTTTGTTGTTTTTTTTAACGAAAGGGGTGGGGGGGGGGGGAGGGGGGATAAACATGTTAACCACCGGTTGGTTTTGTTTTTTTTTAGCCAATATGATTACAATAAAAATTTATTTCACATATATGTTTGGCCATATAACGTTATTTCGAGGTCTAGCCAAGCACAAAAGATAAATTCGGTCTTCCTGGCGGTACCCTGGATACTATTTTCTAGCTCTACATTTATGGAGGGAGTATGGAGGGAGTAAGGAGGATATGAAACATTTTTAGGTTTAGGGAGCGAGGGAGGGCCATGTGGCAAACATAAACAACAGTTTGTGAAACACTGTTCTAAAAGAATCATAATTGACAATCGATATTGTGTTACTCTTCAATATGAAACATAAAAATATCAATCCGAGTTGTCGCAGAAGATTTGGAACAATAATTTAAAGACAGAAAAAAAAAAGAAAAAAAAAGTCAAACTGCAGTGTATTTTATGATTTAATCATTAGCAAAACTGACAGGAAAATAAATAAGTCATACATTATCTCATTATGATACAGTCATGTAATATTTGATCTTAATATACAACCCAGTACAAAATATCAATTGAAATCATCCAGTCAGAGGCCTGTTGAGATAATTAAAATCAGATCACTTGCACATACGGAAAGAAAAATCTCATCTCATCAGACAAACATCTGGATGGTACACCAGATCACATAAACATCTTAAGAGCTCATCAGATCACTTATACTTCTGTCAAGCACACCAGTTCACCTATAATTCTGTCAAGCACACCAGTTCACCTATAATTCTGTCAAGCATTCCAGATTCAATTATACTTCTGGAAATCAGATCCCTTACACTTCTGTAAATGACATTACACCAGACCTACATATGGACTGCATATCATACCACAAGACTGTAGACATCCAGTCTGACACTTGCTTAAAAAAAACTAAGAGATTAAAATAGTGGCTGTCAGATGAAATCATGAAGCTAAAAGATCAAAACATGACATTTGAGACAAAGTCATTTAAAAAATCACTGGCAAATCCATGATGAGAATTATGTCATTAGCCCAGACACAGTGCTTTGATGCTCTAGCAAGGTATATAATTTTACGGTTGGGGGATTGGGAGGGAGGGGGGGGTGTCCATCCCAACATGAGGAACTGTATTAAATGGTTGCAGCATTAGGAAGGTTGAGAGCCACTGCTCTAGTTAGCATTTGATTACAGCAGTTTCATAATACTCTTCATTCTGTCAGTAAGATACTTGTACAACCATTTCAACCAAAACCTCAGTCATCAGTCAAATGTACAAAAGCTTCAAGTCAAGTGTATTCCTAACCAATCAACTGCACACACAATGTTTATAGTGTTTTTTTTTTAAAGTCTCTCAGGATTCCCTCACATAGCAGTTATGTACGTAATACACTACAGAGCAGTTATGTACTTAGTACTACACAGACACACACTTTAAGTACTCTATGCTTTAAAAAACAAAGGAAACATGATGTGTACAAGTTATGATTTTGTTAAGAAGCATGATATTTAAAAAAAAAAAAAAAAAATTTAGTCAAGGCATTGAATGGCACAAGATTATGCTAAATAATGTTCTCAGGAGCTACAAAAACACACTTTAAATACTCTTTGCTTTAAAAAAAAAAGGAAACATGATGTGTAAAAGTTATGATTTTGTTAAGAAGCATGATATTTAAAAAAAAAAAAAAAAATTTAGTCAAGGCATTGAATGGCACAAGTTTATGCTAAATAATGTTCTCAGGAGCTCAATGGATCTGTCATGGATATTCACAGATGGCATACATGGAATTTTTATTTTGCAGTGGAAACAAAAATTTAAAAATTTCCTTTGAACAAATACAACTTAAAACAGCTGTAATTTTTTGTTGTAAGTAGACCATCCACAATGCAGGCGGAGTCTAAGTATGAGTCGAACGCAACTGGCAGGCCCAGAACTTTGTAAAGTCATATAACATAACATATACAATATGGTAAACTAGTCCAGAACAAGTCATAGGTGACCGGCGCAAGGGTGCTCAAAATGTGATCTTCAGGCAGTCACAGATCACAACACAAGCTGCTGGGCTCATGACCCGAAATAATGGGGGGGGAAAAAATTAAAAGAAAGGATCATTTTGAAATGTTCTTGGGTGATGGTGACAGTATTGAGAGAGAAATATCTTTATGTGAAAATGTTGTCATGGAGGAAGTTCCAGTTTTAAAAAGTGAGTCCCAGGTGCTGTCACATTTTAAACTGATGTCAACATTGTCGGCAGAAAAATTTCAAGGTAACAGGACATTTGACCCCAAAAAAATGTAAAAAGGGAAATCTTGTGTCCCAGTTGGCAAACAAGACATGAGCCAGTGTGCCCCATATCAAAACTTCTACCAAACGTCCACCCCAGCATCTCAGTTTATTCATACAATGAACACAATTAGATGCATAGCTTAAGTTACTTTCTTTGAAGTCTGTAGGCACTGAGAAAAACATTCAGCAAAATTTTACCTAGTGGGTAACGACAATCCGCTGGCATTTTGAAAAAATTGAACAAGCATGCTTGCATTTTTATCAGTTTTCTTAAATCTTATTTCAAATTATGACAGATTTTTCCCCATTTCAAAAAGGCACAAAGGCGCCAGAAATTCAACAATGTTGAGACTCACTGACAATATTTTAGAGGCCAGGCAAAACAGAGAAGTTGAACAATGGATAATGTATATTGCAAGAGAAGGCACCACCAGAACAATGCATACAAAGGATTGCTAAAAAAAATTTTAAAAATTTTAATTAAATTACCAATTTGATCTTTTTAAGGCAAATAATTCTCCTGTATCAAGACGAATAAATTTTAGCTTTTTAAAGCAATTAATTCTCTAGTATCAACCGCTGTTTAGAAAATAGAAGAATAGTTATTTGTTGTTTCTTTAAAAGGTCAAGGTGGGGGTTGCAACCAAGCCTTGGAAAAGCTTACCACCGTTAGAATTCATGAGCTGGACATTGCCTGGAGTACACTAATATGCATCTTGGTTGTTGTTTTTTCACATATAAACTTACATAAAGAAAAAACATAGCATAAAAAAACTTGCAGCATTCTCATTTCCTCAACAACAGGACTCAGAGATGTTTTATGGGAAATTTTCAGCAGAATTTCAAAATTACATAAAAATCCCATAAGATTAATTCAACAGCTAACCTTTCTTATAGAGAGGGGAAAAACAAACTAATTGTATTCATGTCAAAAGGCAAGGCGTTCGGTGAAGGGCAAGGATATTACAAAAGGACATCATTCACTAAGGGTAACTTGAAATGTTCAATTTTACTGTGGTGCTCACATCAATGAGGTGGACATGATAAATGCATCTGGAAATCACTAGCACCGTTTCAACAAGGCAACAAAAGTTGACACACCAAAAACAGCCACTTTGTGTCTTTAATGCATTAAACCATTTACCTCGGCAGTGTTTGAACAAAAATTACCACATACCATAAGTAAAACTTTAAATAAACTCTTTTCACTAGATTTTAACTATATATATATCTTTTTTTAAAAACAATTTTTTTTTTAAAAATCGAATGCACCAGCATGTTGAAATTTGACAGTTAAATCAATAATTACATCAGGTGTTGTGGGTCAAGGTAAGAGTTGGTCTACCATCACTCTCAGCTTTGTATTTACCATTTCTGGGGTGTGTCTTGCTCAATGTCATCTGCCCGGCTCATGAGCCATACATTTACAAAGTTCGACTCAGCAGCTGGATTAAGACATGTGAATTTGTGATTGTTGAATTTATCAGCATCATAGGAGGACTAAATGATCCACACACTTTCCTATCAAAAATTTGAAATCAAGTTCATTCATTGAGAAGGACATCATTTAATAATTTTTACAAGGAGCATGTTGAAATTATTTTGTATGTTACAACAAAAACCTCCAATGTTAACAAGACGAGCAATTATCTTTCTCAGCAGTGTAACCAACAAAGTAACACAATTATGCATGTTCTATAACTTTGTAGTTGTACAATAAACATTAACACGAAAGATTTCAACAATAAAATAACAGAATGATATGTACACAGAGGTCATTGAATTCTTTAATCTCCACAAACTAAAAGCGCACGAGAATGAGACATGGTCTGACTTTCTTGTTGACAGGCAACTTCTGCACACAATAATTTATTATTATTATTATTATGTCAGTACATTCATTTTTATGTTCATTTATATAAATAGCTATAGACATACTTTAAAAAAATTAAAAATGTACAAACATAAAACACATAAATGCAACTAAAATTCCAACACTCTATTTACAAGATTTCAAAAAGATTTTCACTGAGACATTAACTGATAAAATGATGTACCCAAATGTGTTAGATACACAGCATTGAAGGGAAAAACACAAAAAAACATCAACAACCTCTTGGGTTACAGAAAAATCTCATTGGTGTAAACTCTATGTACATAAATTATGAAAGACTTCTTTATGTCTCCAATGATTAGTTCAACTATAATAACATATTCGAGGTCACAGGTCAAACAGCACGGTGGGCAGGGTGTAATGGGTACAACAAAACCGTGGCTGGTATTACAACTTTCTCAAATGAACAAGTTCCCAGTCCACAAGCACAACCAAAGGATTCACTGCAAAGAATGGAGTTTGCCTAGGCATGTTCAACCCTCTTGAGACGGAGCCTTTTTTGGGACTGTCCGTGCCAAGAAGACGGAGCCCTTTTCACAAGCCCTGTACTTATTTTACAAAGAATTTTTTTTGTAAAATAATAATAAATAATACCCAATCTCTTTACAAACTTAAAACTGTATACCGGTATATCATTGTAGGGATTTGAATGAACTGATATGATATTTATGAATCAAAAAGACATCTCAAAATTTATGCAAAGGAGATATCCTGATTTACATAATTTATGAC